ATACAGAAGATATATTTGCACTTTTATGTACAGGGAATATTTTCTAAAATGATTGCTTTATTTGGTGTGTATTTTTCTTATATGTGGAATGGGGCGCCTATATGCGCAACATTTTCAAAAGTTTTCCCCCGCCCCTTCCCCCTTCTTCAGGTCAGACTAGCATTATAGTTAGCAAATTGATAAGGTTCCACGGGTAAGCTTTATTACTTCTGACACGAGCCTATGACACTTTATAAAAAGAAGTAATCCAGAACAATCTCTAGGTAATTAACACCTAGATAAACAAACATAAATTTCTATATTGCATTTATTTGGACTACCACTCAAATATGCGTGAACCATGCTTTTTTAATTAAAAGATAAATCTATGTGACACTTAGCCTCAAACTTAATTATTCAGCATAGTATAATAAAAAATAGGGCCCATTAAATGTGTCTTGCACTGTATTTCTGTATTAACAGCAAAACAGTTCAGTCTGGGATCATTTAAATTTTCTCGCTCCTCTTTTCCTATGATTTCCCTGTTCACCAAGGGCCCCTTCTCCGCTTTCTCTCTCTCTCTCTCTCTCTCTCTCTCTCTCTCTCTCTCTCTCTCTCTCTCTCTCTCTCTCTCTCTCTCTCTCTCTCTCTCTCTTTCTCTTTCCTCTTCTTCTAACACCAACAGGTAAAGAGATAGAGAACTTTAGCCAGTAATCCCTTAGAATGTTCAGCTGTGCTACATTTAATATTGCATGACACCACACTATCCCATATTTTTTTTTCTTCCTCTCTACGCAGCTTTCCCTACGGAAACGTCTCTCTGCTTTGGTGGAACAGGCCCAGACTGGGTATCCTGAAATGAAGAGCATAGCACTGAACAATAATTTCCCTGAGATCTTGCTTACAATATACCAGGTAAGAGTTTTTTAAATAATATACTATTATAATACAAATGTTAAACAGAAATTCTCAAATCTCAAATTACAAGAGACAGTGAAGTTATAGCCTTTATAAAAGTTTCAGCAAGAAACTATCAGAAGGCTGAGTATTGGCAGCTAGCCTCTTGTACCAGGTATTCCCCATCTGTATCTGAAGGCCTCAGAAAGATGATCAGGGCCAGGCTGGATCCCCAGGAAAGGACTTTCCCAGGAGGCAAAAGTATTGAATTCAGTCAGACACATCCTTCTTCCTGAAGATCACCATGAGTGATGACCACGTGGCCTTGAAATTGGATTCAGGACATACATCATTTTAACTCTAAGAAGAGAGGGAATATTCAGGCTAGTAAATATTCCCAGATTTAGGCTCTTTGGGCCCATACCAAATTATTTTTTTTAAATGTTTACAGGTTACTTTTGGCACTCTGGCTTTTCGTTTTCCATGGTTGTAGGAACAATAAGAACAGGGAAAATGTAGAAAAATGATGAAAAAAAAGAGATGAAAAGATGATATTGGCTTATCTGTGGGATTTCATTTCATTCCTCAAATATATTTATATACATATGTGTATACCAACTGATTTGACTCAAGGCTTCATCTCTGCCTTCCAATACAACTTCTGGTAAGAATAGGTACTGTCTGGAAGAAACAGGAAAAGTAAAGGGAGAAAAAAGGAAGTGAAGTATGAGAAGGGGACAAGAAGGCGCTTTCCACAGAGGTACAGTGGCAAGAACATATGGCCTTGGAGTCAGACAACTTGAGTTCAATCCTGCCCCTGATGCTGACTACCTGTATGACCTTGGTCAAGTCACTTAACTGTGGATCATTTTACTGATCTGTAAAATAAGGGCATTGGGCTAGCTGGGCCTGAAGTTAAGAAGACCTGAGTACAAAGCCAGCCTCTGATATTTACTAACTGGGTGACCCAGGGCAGGTTACTTAGCCTCGGTTTGCCTGAGTTTCCTTAACTATAAAATAAGAATAATCAATACAGCACTTACCTCCCAGGGTTTTTGTGAAGATCAAATGAGCTAATATTTGTAAAGCACTTAGCACAGTCCCTGGTTTTTATTGTTGTTCAGTCACCTTTTTAGTTGTTTCTGACTCTTCATGACCCCATCTGGGGTTTTCTTGGCAAGGATACTGGAGTGGCTTGCCATTTCCTTCTCCAGCTCATTTTACAGATGAGGAAACTGAGGCAAACAGGTTAAGTGATTTGACCAGAAGCACACTGGCACATAGTAGAGCCTTAATAAATCCTTCTTTCCTTCCTTCCAAATCTAGGTCTGGATGTCCCATGATATCTGCATTGCATTTAACCACCTTCCAAATTGTCAGGAGTTGTTTTCTAAGGGCTGGGGAAGCAGAGAAGGGACTTAGAAATGCAGCAAAGATGATCTCAACAACAATGCTTTGGACAGCAAAGCTAATGCTCACTAACCCATGGACCTTTCTCTCCTTGGCATAAGTATTCTCTTTTTTTAATCTTCTGTGTCTAATCTTTATTTCCAAATATCCTATGAACAATCAATAAATATTTGTACGTGACAATTATGTTACTTGCTGACATAATATTTGGAGGTCCAAGCTCTGAAATATCTCTCCCCCATTAACATATTTTTGTCTCATAAACGTATAAAAGCATTCTGATTACAAATGGGGATGATGTGTTGAAGTGGAAACAGATTATGTTGCCATCAGAGAGCTGTAACTAGAAACGGTATATAAAGCTAGTTTAGAGGGAGAATTGTTTTTTTTTTACTAATTGCTATTAACAAAAGTTAAAGAAGTCCAAAATTCCAGCTCTCCTTGATAAAAAATTGCATCATGTTCAGAGCTGGGATGCTGGTTTAACCCATGGCACAGGTATTCTTGAAGATTATAAGATCGTAGAGTTAAAAGGGGAAAGAATCTTCCTAGTTCATCTTGTCTGACCTCTCATTTTACAGAGGAAGAAACTGAAGCCCAGAGAGGTTGAATGATTTGCTCAAGGTCATGGATGGGCATAAATGGCACGGCTTGGATCTAAATGCTAATCATTTCCACTGCTTCTCTCAGCCTCACTAACATAGTGGTGAGTGTATTTAATACGGATTCACCTTAGATGGACTCCAGTGTTATTGTTATTACTGCATTTGGAAGGTGGGGATAGAAGAGGGAATCAGCATTTATAGAGAACGTACTTTGTGCCAGGTACTGTTCTCAGTACTTTACAAATATCTCATTTGATTCTCACAACAACTCTGGGAGGTAGGTGCTATTATTATCCCCATGTTATACTTAAAGAAACTGAGGCAGGCATAGGTTAATTGACTTGCAGGGTCACACAGCTAGTAAGTGTCTGAGGCTGGATTTGAATTCAGGTCTTCCTTCCTCCTGACCCAGCACTCTGTCCAGTGAGCCATCACTGGCTGCATTTAGCTAGATCAATGTATTTTTCCAAAGCGTATATATACACTTAGGTTTAATGACTTCTCCAAGGTCACAGAATGAGGAAGGATTAAGACCAGGACCCAGATTTCCTGACTCAATGTGGTGTAGACAGGAGCACAATTGGGTACTCTCTCCATTCTCCTCCCAGCACTCATCAAACCTCACCCCCAAACACAGTCCTTTATGAGTGACTATAGCAACCTTCTGTCTTAACCAAGTCCCACATCATCATCATCCTCCATGAACCTATGGCCCTATGTTAATTTAAATAAGAGGATGTAATGAGACCAAATGAGGAGTCTGGTATCTTTACTCCAAGCAAAGAAAGATCTGTTACAAGTTCATAGATGGTCATGATTCAATTTCCTTTTAAGTCTCCTTTCCCCTCCAAAAAAGTGGTTGCTCAGCATCCTGTCATCTCCCCCACCCACCCTCACTTCCGTGTAGGAAGACTTAAGGTAGACTGGAGACATGCATTTTGATTTCTTTGAAAATGGAAATAAATGGCTTTCTTTCTGGTCACCAGGACAAAAAGCCCACACCCATACCCCCAGGGCATTCTACCACCATATATGTGCATTCTGCAAAAACACATGTTTTATGGGAAGATATGACTTTATGCACCCATACTAAACGCACTGCAAATTCATGCTAGGACAGTCTTCTCAGCAGATTTGGGTAGTCTGCATGTACTCTGCCTGGAGTCAGGAAGACGTGAGTTCAAATTCAGACTCTTAATACCTACTGCCCAGGGTCACACAACTAGTAAATGTCTGAGGCCTCATTTGAACTCGGATCTTCTTGACTCCTGGCCAGTACTCTGGGCCAGTATACTGAGCCATCACTGCCTGCAGTTAGCTAGAACAATATATTTCTCCAAAGTGTGTGTGTGTGTGTGTGTGTGTGCGTGTGTGTACACACACACACACACACATGAGCACTTAATAGCTATGTGACCCTGGGCTAACTGGGGATGTTCCCCAAGACTCTGTGCTGGATCTTCTTCTCCCTTTATACTATTTTCTTTGGTAATCTTATTAGCTCCCATGAATTCACTCCCTATGGTACAGCTAGAGCTCCAGGCCTGGAGTCAGGAAGACTCATCTTTCTGAGTTCAAATCTGGCCTCAGACACTTACTAGTTGTGTGACTCTGGGCAAGTCACTTAACCCTGTCACCTCATTCATAAAATGAACTAGAAAAGGAATTGGCCAAACTGCTTTAACTTCTTTGCCAAGAAAACCCCAAATGCAGTCATGAAGAGTTGGGCACAACTGAAATGACTGAACAACGAATAGACGTTTATACTGTATACAGTTGTGTATGGTGTCAAATTGGGCTGAGAAATATCCCATCCCAGCACCCGTACCACAGGGATATATAATACTGTGTTCACCTAGCACTGGATAGACAAGCATCAATATTGGAGAAAATCTGACAAAGCTTCAGAAATGAATTTAACAGTTCCTAATAAAGAGACACAAATAGGAAAAGGGTTTTTTGTTTGTTTGTTTTTTTGCTTTTTGTTTTTTTTCCAGAGGTAGAGGTTTTATTGCGTAAAACACTGGATAAGACTTTACTGCTTCAGAGACATTTTATTCTAACAGGAGAAAGAAAACAGTCATTGCTGAAAAAAAAAACAACTTTTAATACTTTCTATACCAGAATAAAGTTCTGTCAACTGATGTATTATAATAATAAATAATGACCAAGAATAAACTTTAAATACAAAGTTTTCTACTTGTTACAAGCATAGCAACACAATCCTCTACTCTATTGATCTCAGATTTCCTCCAAGAGAGAAATTTTTTTTTAATTTTTCTTTGTGTAGGAATGTAGACAGTATTATGACCAGTACCACAGACTACAGAAGTTACAGAGAAAAAACTTGACATGTTTAGATATGAGAAGCTGATGATATTCAGAAACTGACAATGCATCACTGCCGCTGTCACTTGTGTGTTTTACAAGTTACAAATGTTCTGGAAAAAAGGCCCATGTCAGAGGGGGAAGAAGGGACAGTAGCACTGGACCAAATGGAGTCAACACACACGTCACAAAGAAGGGGAGATGTTCCCAATGTCACAAACAGAATTATTGCCTGTCGCATCTGAAACTGCTCAGAAGACAAAGAATACCGAAGGATCTCCTTGGTGCAGGAGATGGAATGTGGCTCTTTTTTTCTGATTTTTTCCTTTTTTTCTTTTTTTTTTTGTTCTTTTTTTCCTTTATTTCTTTCCTTTTTTTCTATTTTCTATTTTATTATTTTTTTTGCTAAGATACTGAAGGCGGGCGCAAACACACAGAAAGCAAGCGACTGACACAGTCACCAAACACGGTAGTGCAGTTAAAATTCTAAAGCTTACTACAGTCAGAAAGTTTTCAATAACATTTCAATCCCTTCTCTAGGATCATAGAAACAGTTGCATTAAGTTTATCAACTCGATTTAAGTAAGGCAGTGAGAACTATACTAGAAAAACAAGAAAGCAGCCTGCTCTATGCCAGATGGGTCCAAGTTGCACAGCGAACTCATTTAAACTGAAACTTCAGTTGGATGACACCCTTTCGACAGCATATGCAAACCGTATTCCTTATTAGCCTGAGATTTTTTTTTTCCAGTCTCAGGATAGCGCTAAGAATTTTATTTACATTGATTGCAGTTTAGTATTTTTGTAAACTGCTTTAGGCAGAGCTGAAATTTTAAGGCCCTGGGGTTTTAATCTGTGCTCCCAGCCTGCAAGGAAATATTGACTTTTCATTTATTTTTATTTTTTAGGTTCTGGTTGATTTTGTTTTAGACTAAGTTAATACTTCTCTACCATCACAATCCACAGCACCTGTGTCTGTAAAAGGAATCACTTTAAAAGGCTGAAATTTTAAGCCATTCAAGCAGATGTAAGACTAAACCTTTCACTAGACTTCTTGCAAGGTTTGGGGTTAAGCATCTCAATAGTATCCCTCAAATGTTCCTTCTGTGGTGAAGGAAGAACTTAATATGGAGGATCTAAATAGTAGAAAACCTAGCATGATCAGCCAAAAAGGAAAAAAAAAGTAGAGCAATTTTTTTTTATGGAAAAAGTAGAACACATTTGTTTTAAAAAACAAAATAATAACAAAAACAATTGCTCAAACGCTTTCTTCATTAGAGACAAAGCACAGGATGTTGGGATTCATATTTTAGCTCAAGCTGCTTCAGAAGACCCCATTCCAGAAGATATTCCTGCCCTGTGTCTGTTGCACTTATAAAAACTAACAGATGAAGAACTTAACTAGGATTAGAAAATCCTTCATTCAAGTAAAAAAAAAAATTAAAAATTTAAAAAAAAGAATTTTTAAACCCTCTATTGTAACATAAAATTCAATTTCTCACCAGCACCTTCTACAGATGAGGCTGACTAGTCTGGCTAAACAATAATGATATATCACATACCCCTAGATTTCTTTAGTAGACACCTCCTTCTTCATCCCCCCCCCAAAAAAAATGGACCCAGAATAAAAGCATTTCCCTCAATACTGCCATTTGAGCTGAAAAAAGGAATCACTCATCAAATCTGCAATGGACATGTGTCCGTACATCCTTCCTGACCACTGATTCATTCGGCTGTGTATTTTTAAAAAATGAAAATGTAATATCACAATCTTTTCCAATATCAGTCAGTCCTGACCCTCGTTACGGGCTGGCTAAGATTTCTCCTCCAGTGCAGTTACAACACCACTCCCATTGATTTTCTCTGCAGTGACAGCCCCAGCCTGACTGGCACCATGGTAGCTAGCATACCAAGCCATCTCATTGCTATGCTGGGCCAATGACAGCCGCCAGTATCATATTATAAAGGTGTTTTCAACAATGAAGACGCAGCCTCTCAATCTTCGGAGGCAACACTAAATCATGGAGATGGTATCATTTTTCGGTTAAGAGCGTTATTTTTGGACAAAGAGCACTTTAGAGTTTGAAGTGCCCCCTGCTTTTTTTAGAGTACTAACGACCTCCTCACATTTTTTGAAATCACTTTATTATCCCACCTGCGTTGTTTGGAAGCATTTGTTGCCAGGTAACAGTTTAGCAGCCATTTTCAAGGGCTGGGGAAATTTTTTTAATATATATGTATAGATATGTTTTAAATGTTTTAAACATCCTGTACACTACTAGGTTGGGGGGGGGGGAGCTGTATGCAACTCTTTATTTTCCTTGGAATGCAGTTAGCAAACTCTCTTACTAAATGCCTACCTAAAAACTGTAAAATAATATTGCAATATACAGATAGACTTGTTCAGCTGTTACTCCTGGATCTTGCTGCCCACATCTGTTAGCTCTGCTGAGCTCCCAGGTCTGACAGCTGTAGGTTCCTCTAAATTCCCAGAAGCCTCGGAGTCAACTCTGGAGCGCTTGAACCTGCGATCGGGATACTGGCTGTTGTCAAAAGGCATGCGATGGACACAAAGAACATGGGTCTTCAGGTTTCCCTTCTGAGAGGCACTGTATGGACAATATCTGCACTGGAAAGGCCTGTGACCTGAAGATAGACAGAAATCTGGTTAGTGGGGTAAGGGGTCATGAGGTTTTTCTCCTAAGCACATTTAATTAATTTATTATTTTTAAAAATTCTCTCTAGGAGCAAGTACTTCATGAAAGCTATGGCAAAACAAAGAGAAACAAAAACAGATAGATAAGAGTCACATCAACAATAATTTGAAAGAAGAGCTTCCAAGGCAGAGATTTTAATCCATTTGCTTGGGTAGAAGAGAAAGCTAGATATCACCTGGCCTTTCTATAAAATGATCATCAATTACTCAGTATGGCAATCCAACTCAGGCCAAACAGTTTAATAACTGGGCTTCCTTTATATTTGTTCATTAACTTTTTATTGGAGAAAGATGTAGACATGACCATGTATAGACTCGGTACTAACCAAGGGTTTCATGGAGTTTGGGGGGGGGGTGGAGGGAGAGGGAGAAGTGTCTCTAACCTTTGAATGGAGTGGAAAATATCCCTTCAACTCAGTTTCAGTTCTAAAGGCATGTGTTTGTGTGTGTATGTCTGTACATATATACATATACACATATTTGGGGGCAGGGGTCGATGAGTGAGACCAATGGAAAGGAATCAGGGGTCAGACAATGTAGGCCCATGTCATCTCCTACAAGTGCCGACTACACAGGTTGGATTTAGTTCTTGAGGTCTAATATTCGAAGACTTGCAATAAACTTTACATTTTGAATAGAAGACAAATGAGTGAGGAAAGAACTCTGATCCCCATAGTCTCATTTCTTTGTTCAGACACACCACAGACACACATGCACATTTTTGCCATATTGGAAAACTAGAATAGCATCTGGTTTGGGAAGTTATATTGAAGCAATCACATTTCTTCTATGCTGGAAAGTTGATGTACTGTTTCTGGAAGTTTATGGGCTTTTGTCTTTCCAACTAGCAGCATCAGAGGTCAAATGCCCTTAGCTGGGTTTAATTTGCTCAGAAATATTCAGGAAGAAAATTAAGTGAGCCCAGACACTCACGTTGCCCCTCCACCCAGACACACATGCACATATCCATACCCTAAGAGCACTTTCAGTGTTCCCAGGCTGGACATTCCTGAGGGACCACAAACCATGCCCCCTTGGCTTTCCATGAGAACTATTCTCCAGCAAAGTGGCGGGTAAAGCATCTTTCTTTAGTGAAATTAAACCATGTTTTCCCAGCAACTTATATGACAACGTCAGAGCTGTTTTGTCTCTACCGAATTGCTTTTAATTTGCCACTCAGCAGCTCCTAATGCCTTCACTTTAATATCTCTGATCCCTGGCCCCCTAACCCCCAGCCTCTTTGCAAACAACTGCTTAAGTGAAGTAATGCTCTTTAAAGGCAGCCTTTAATGTAAATAATCATCTCTGCTTTATTACTCATTAAACCTATGTATGGAAACCCTAATATACAAAAATTCAGAACACAGCAGCCAAGTGAAGAGGGATCCTGATCAGATCCCTAACAGAACAAGGTATCTTAGCAAAAGACTCACCCCACCTTGTGACCCCAAGATCTGCATAGGCTCCACTTAGAGCATTTGAAAAACTTTCTATTTTTACACACACACACACACACACACACACACACACACACACACACACACACACAGATTTCTTCCCAGAAATCTTCCTACTTCCTACTTCACATTAAGTGCCTTAAAAGAAGAAAAACTAGTCTTCATGTTTTTTTCAGGGCAGTTCCTATATTTCTGATCTCCAGGGGGATTTTTTTTGTTTTTGTTTTCATTACTGCTAGTCTCTGCACCCCATTGTTCATACTATCACTACCTCCTTGTGCTGCTATTTATTGGAATGCTATCTATTCCTTAATTTCTAGCTGTAGCTCCTTTTCTCCCAGGAAGACTTTGGCAGCTATGCCTAGTGGAGAGGAGCTTCACTCAACTTCTCTGTTGAGATGTGAGGTCTTATGCCAGCTCTGAGTAAGTCCCCTCCCCCTGCCCATGCCTCAGTTGCTTCATCTGTGCAATAGGAGTCATTTTGCACTACTTACTTCTCAGGGCTGTTTGCGAGGACAGTGTTTTACAAGCTGAGAGGCCAAATGGACCTGGAATCCAAATCCTGGCTCAGCCATTCAACTGTCTAAGGGACTTTGGGCAAGTATTTTAACTTCACCTGATTGTGGCTTCCTGATCTGTAAAAATGAAAAGACTGGCACAGATGATGATAAGGCTGCATCTAGCTCTAAATATAAGATCTGAAGATTATTAAAGGGACCTGTAAATGTGAACAATCATTCTCTAGCCTACCCAAACTCCTTCTTCTGAGCAGTCTTCTAATACTTCTCTTCTGATAGACAAATAGTATACTGCTAAATGTCCAAATGATTACAATCATCTAATGGCTCCAGAAAGTGTGGACTTTGTCTCCTCAATCATATGGGAAAATCCTCAGGAGAGCTTTGACTTTCTTTTTATTATTATTATTATTTTTAAATCTCCCCAGTAGTGCCAAGAACAAAAGATTATAGAACTAGAATTGGGAGTCAGAGGCCACCTAAGCCAACCCTTCATTTTACAGATAAAGAAACTGAGGCACAGAAAGGCTAACTAACTAGATCAGGCTATGATTCTAACTTGGGTTCTGATGTTTTCTAGTCATTTCTCTTTCCCAGCCACCTAGTAGGCACTAAGAAAGACTTACTAGAACTATTTAATTTTCCAGTTGCAAAAGTAGGTTGAGAAGTTTGGGATGGAGAAATTTGGAATTTTTTTTTCTAATTCTAGTTTTCAAGATACAAATCAAAAAGTCCCCTAAATTCCCTTTAATGACATCACAAAAACACCTGTTAACGTAAGGTGCTTAGTAGAGAAGGAATAGGTAGAATAACACAATTCTCAGCTATTGAGAGATCAAGGGGGCAGCTTGCCCTTCTATCCCCACTAACCATCTCAGTATTTAATAGCAATCACAATAACAGCAATCACAATAGCACATTTACATAACAATTTTTCAAGTTTACAAAATTATTTTTAACAATATCCTGTGAAATAGGTATGGCAAGTATTACTGCCCCAAGTGCCATAACTAAGGCAAAACAAATGGGCTTTTTTCCAGAGCACCCAAATTTAGAAGGTTGCTAACAATACTTATTCTCCTCCAGCATTATAGAAATAAATGAAATTAGTACCCAGTTAAGAAAAAAAAAATCTTTAAATAGGAAGCTATCAGTGTGCCTGCTGAACCCTTGTCTTTGGAAGTTGATTGAGGAACGCACTTTGTTCTATTTGCCCTGTAGTAATTGTCTCTGATTTTCATCATTTCACATGCAGAAAGGACATGTCTCACCAGAATTGGTCTGAGAATATTCCAAGCTCTGTGCAAAATTTTTTAGTTCAATCCCTCACTACATAGAAAATAAAAATGAGGCTCCTTCAGGCTGATTGACCTGCCCACGGTCACGTAAGCCAGTAAGAATCACACAGTCAGAGTCAAGAGGGCTGGGTTCAAATCCTACTTCTGCTTCCAGGGCTTTTCTCACTAAACTATGATGGTCTATATCCAATTCATACCACTCCAATATGGTAAATCCAGTGACATATTTCTTGGGAAAGGAGGTTTGGAACTCCTGGTTGTAATGAATTTTTAGAGTTGTTCAAGGATTTAAATTCTTCCTGCTTGTCATTAACATATATAATTGTGATTTGTTTCTCATATACAATATACCATGAAAATGGTGTATTGTATTTAATACAAATATGATACAAAAATATAACCACAAAAATAAAGGCTATTACTCACATAGAGTCGTATACTGTCAGAAATAAAAAAGACCATTGTAAAATTTCCCTATTTGACAGGTTAGAAAACTGAGGCTTATAAAAAAGTGACCTTGATTATGTGGTAATCCATGTGTGAGCATCTAAGCCTATCTGCAATTTATTTTTAAAATATATATATAAATATTGCCATATATGGTGATATATTTACAATATATTTTGCTGCTGCTTAGTCAATAATGCCTTGCTTTTTTATAGAGCTTACTATAAAATAATAGATAATGTCTTACTCTTATGTCTAGTGTCCCAGTGACATAGTGAGCCCTCATGTAAGCTAAGATGTTAGAGATGGAAGGGACCTCAGAGATCTGCAGCTCCATTCTGATCATTTTAAAGATGATTGGGAAAATGACTTAGCCAATATTAAAATCCATAATTTTTTATTCCAAGTCCAATGTTCAACCTCTATACCAGGGATCAGCAAACTATAATCTGTGGGGCAAAATCAGCCCACAATTTTTGAACAGCTAAAATGATTTTTTACATTTGTGACTCAACTAAATTAATTTTTTAAAAAATATTTATCTCATTTTTATTCTCACAACTGCATCACCAAGGAGATAATAAGTTATTGTTCACAATATCCAGATGAGGAAACTGAGACTTAAATCAGTGTACAGACATGTATTATATCTCATTTTCTGTGATTCCATCAATCTAAGAAGTTCTTGGTGAGAAACTTCTAACCATGCAGATCACACATTCTCCATAGCTTATAGTCTTAAAGAGGTAACTATATTCCTGCCCAGCCTGTCTCAGAAGGTTGATGTGAGAGTAAAATGAGATAATAATAACAACAACCGTAATAATAATACATACATATTTATGTGGTGCTTTAAGTTTTTTAAAGTGTTTTACAAGCACAAACTCATTTGGCTTCACAAAACCCGATGTAGTAAGTTGCAATTATTATCCCCATTTTACATATGTGAAACCTGAGGCTCACAGGGGTTAAGTAACTTGCTCAGAGTCACAAAGTTAGCTGATGACAGGGTCAAGACTAGAATCCATATACTAACTCATTGCTTCCACCTTCCAATTTCATCACTCAACTGAAACCTCTCTCCCAAGTTACCAATGATCTCTTTTCATGGCCAAAGATGATGGTCTTTCTCCCCCAGTCCTAATCTTTTGGAACTAAATACTGTATTTGACATTGTTAATCATTTTCATCTCCTGGGTAATCTCTCGTC